CTCCAGCTGACCGCCCCCACCCCCCACCATCCCTTTTGGGAGACCTCCATGTCGCCGCCAGCCCAGCCCCTTCCGGCTCCCGGTCAGAAACAGCTGTGGCAAAATCCCTCCCATCCCAGAAGTGGCTTTTTAGAAAATGCTTAAAACAGACACAAAGAGGTGGCGAGAACTTTGCCAAGCGCCGGCTGCAGGCAGACGGTGCGAGCACCACGCTGGGGCGGGCAGGATGAAGGTCTGCCCAGCTCAGCTTTGTGGATCCGCCCCTCTGGGCCTCAGTTTCCCCATCTCTGAAATGAACGCACTATGCCAAATCAGCAGTTCTTTGTTCCTTTCTTTCTAATCCCCTTAAGAATCTCAATCTGGGGGCTCGGCAGAAACGGAGCTGCCCGCAATAGCTGGGTTTGGGTGGGGGCTGGGCCGGGACAGGCACGGGACAAATCCCAGGTGCTCAGTCTCCCACGGTCCCCAAATGGCCCCAAGGCAGCCAGCCATGGGTTCCAGGATGAAGAACTCACTTGAAAACCACCAGGCTGACCGATCGTGGTGGTCCCGCCACACTCTCAAAGGACCCCCGGGGGGCGGCACTGTGGTGCAGCCTGTGGGGGCCGCATCCTGTATCAGTGCTGGCTGCTTGGCTTCAGACCCAGCTCCCTGCTAACGCGCCTGGGAAAGCAGCAGAAGATGACCCAAGTGCTGGGGCCCCTGCACCCACGTGGGAGACCCGGATGGAGCTCCTGGCTCTGGCCTGGACCAGCCCTGGCTGCTGCAGCCATCTGGGGAGTAAACCAGCAGATGGACTGACTCTCTCTCTCTCTCTCTCTCACACACACACACACACACCCCTTGCCTTTCAAATAAATAAATAAATCTTTAAAAAAAAAAAAAAGAGAGAGAGACCCTCCCGTCAGCTGGGTACCAGGTGACTAACCAGGAGTGCCAGCAGCTCATAGCACACTGGACCTGCGGGGACCAAGAGGGGCTGCTGCACCCAGGGCACCACCCCGTGCCCCCGGCAGCCAGGCCGGCACAGCCAGCATGGGGTAACTTCCTCCACCAACCACGGCAGCTTCCTCCCAGGCACCAAGCTACGGGACCTCACGCCTGCCAAGCTCAATGCGTCCCTGCTTCCTTTGGGGCCAATGAAGAGAGAAGAAAGTCCTGACATAGTCCTGCCTGGGGATGGCAGGGAAGCCCTGCCCGACCCTGAGCCGTCTGAGGCAGAGGCCCGAGGGCCCCAGGACAGAGGCAGGCCACTGTGGTCTCGGGAGGCAGAAAGGTCGGCTGTGCCCCAAGCCCCTTCCGGTCCCAGACCTGAAGTGTGGAGCGAGCTGGGAGGAATCTCCCAGGAAGCCCCTCAGGTGAAGGTGGAGGTCCCGAGGCCCAGAGAAGGCAGGGGACGGCTGGAGGCTGCACAGCGCTTGACAGCGGAGCTAAACCTGCAGCCAGGCCGCCCGACGCAGAGAACCCTGCAGGTGTGTAAAGTCCGGGGGTTCGGCAGGAATGCCCCGGGGAAGAGCCCCCGCTTGCACACTCAGAACAAGACGCTTCGGTGGCACTGGGTGGTGACAGAGAAGAGCTGTTTGTTTTGGTTTCCAAATCAACGCTTGACAACCTTGCCTTTGGAGGGTTTCAGTAACCACAATGGCCACGTGGTGAAGAGTGGGCTCGGCGGAGGGGAGAGCGAAGCCGTGGTGGGCGGGGCCGGGGCCTGGGCACCCCAGCCAGGGGCTCCACGCGGGGTCTGTCCGGGTCCCACTGACAGCACAGGAGGCCGTGGTAGGCAGGGCACACCGGGGACACACGGGCTACGACACAGAGCAGCCTCAAAGACGAGCAAAGTGAAAGCAGCCAGGCACCTAAGACGGGGTGCCGTGGGTCCCGTTGACAGGAAGTGCCCAGAGAAAGCCAGTGTACGGAGTTGGAGAACAGACCAGATGTGAGACAGCGCCCGCACCTGGGCACATGTTGGGGGAGGGGATGTGTGGCTCTAAAACCGCACAGTGGTGACAGTTGTGCAACTCTGTGAATGACCAAAAATCACTGAGACACCAAAACGAGTGGCTTGCATGGCACGGAAGCTACACCTCAAGGAAGCTGTGAGAGTTTTACATAGGGAATAGTGCAGGGGTGCATGGATACGGCCCCAAATCATGGAGGCAGGACCCCGAAGCCTCCAGCTGGAAGGACACAGAGCCACCACAGCCCAGGTTGCCCCTGGGGGTGCACACAGGGGGTCTCTCAGGCTGGGAGCGCATCCAGGTGGACCAGGGGAAACCCTGGGAGTTTCCTTCCCTGGCCAGGCCCCGTCCATTGCTCAATGCCCGGGGTGCCAGCGAGACGTCCTGCAAGGATCAGGCTTCAGGAGCCCGGGCACACGCTCTCAGGCCTGACAGGCTCACAGGTGGGGTCAGAGGGGAGCCGGGCTGGGGAGTCCCCTTAAGCTCACAGAGCAGCTGGCCGGTGGTGGTTCTCAGGTTTATTGTATTTATTTATTTATTTATTTGAAAGGCAGAGAAAGAGGGGGAGAGAGAGAGACAAAGAGAGAGAGAGAGAGAGAGAGACAAAGAGAAAGAGAGATCTTCTATCTGCTGGTTTATTCCCCAAATGGCCACAGCAGCCAGGAGCCAGGAACTCCGTCAGGGTGGCTGGGTGGAAAGTGGAGCGGCCAGACCTGGAAGCAGGCTCCAGATATGCGATGCTGGCGGCCCTGGCTTACCCCGCTGCGCCACAACCCTCGCCTCACCGGCAGTTTTTAAACACTTTTCAAAGTTGTCTGCGCACTCTCCTCGCCCAAAACAGTTCTTCTAAGAAGCCCAAATGCACAACAAACAAAAAGAGAATGGGACTCTTATAACCGTACCGTGGGCTCCCACCACCTATCCCACCTATCCAACTCCAATCAGCGAGACGGATGCGGCCACTCTGACGACAGAGCCACATCCCGGTTAAATTTATCTCCAGACCCGGCTCCAGGACATCAAGGAGGGCCTGACGCGCACAGCTAAGCAGCTACAAATGGGAGCCGTTGCAGGAGCTTGCTCGGTAACCCAGAACCCTCTTCAGACAAAGGAGAGGAGGGGGCTGTCACTGGAGGCCGGCTGCTAACCAGGTAGCCTGGTAGTGAGATCCGGGGGGTCCGTACTCAGAACCGAGCACGTTTTTAGGAGCCCGCCGGCCCAATGTATTTCTAAATTATAACTTTTGCTAAGTGTTCACGGAACCCCACGGCATCTCCGAGGAAGCCTTGGTCTTTCAGGAGCACGGTTCTGGCCCAGGCGCCTCATTCCACAGAGAGGGAGGGAGACTGAGACCCAGGAAACCGTACGCTCAATTTAGAAAAATCCAGCATGTGCCTGCCCTGAACCAACTTTGGAAAAGACAGGCCCCTCCAGTGCACGCACAGAACCAACAACTGAAGGGGAAAGAAGGTGCGTGTGCACCCCAGAGGGCGGGCAGAGAGACACCTGCCCCCCACCTGCCTCAGCAGCACCAGCTCAGGCCGGGCCAGCACCAGAAGCTGACATCACACCCCACGCCCGGGTGCAGCGTGGACAGACCATTGCGCAAGGCCAGCCCGTCTCCCATTAAGACTGGGCACGGTTTTTTCATCTGCTTAGCAGCCAGGTCCAGAAAGCACACACACAATAAAATAAACACAGAACAAACGCCTGCGGCATGACGACACGGTCAACGGCGGCGGAGAGGGGAGGCCCAGTCCAGGCCAAAACAAATGCCCATTTCCCTCACCCGCACCAATGAGGCTGACCACGAGGGGCAGACGGGTGGTCTCCCCACGGCAAGGCTCCAGGCCACTCTCAAGTCCTCCGGTGGGGCAGGTGCCCCAGGAGAGGCAGGCAGGACCCGCCCCAGAAGGCCACACTCCAGCCTTTCTGCTCCCAGCTGTTCCACACGGTAACCTCGGCTGAGGACCTGAACCCTTCCCCCAGGCACCACCCTCCCAAGCGTCTCCTTCTTCCCTGGGGTGGGACTGAACTGAAGTGCCCATCACCAATGCGACTGCACTTGGAGACAAAGTCCTCAAGGAGATAACTAATCCTCCCCTCCAGCAACTGTGGGCAAACACACGTGCCAGGGCCTCCAACAATCCCCCCGCCCCCAGCAAGTGACGGAGCGGACACTTGAACCCACCTGCCCCGTGCGAGACGGAGGGAGGAGACCCACGCTCCCTGGGCAGGCGGTGCAGGATGGGAGCCAAGGCCCCTCTCAGTTCAGAACCACGTCTCCAAAGGCACGGACGGGTGCCTGTGCCTGGAACGGCAGCCGCCAGGGCCTGGGGTCCCTCCCTCACTCGGGCCAGAGATGCCACAGACAGACCCCTGTCCCCTTATCAGAGATCCCCTGCAGCCAGGACTGTCCACCAGGCCGCACAGCAGCATGTAGCCAGGCCTGTGGGTGATCTGCCGCCCTGCCAGACACGGTGGTCTGCGTCCACTCAATGTCCAGTCCCCTAGCCCCACACGGTGGGCTGGGGGCTCAGGGCTCCCTTTGATGGGGCTCAATAAACCATGAACTCGCGCAGAGTGGGGAGCAGAGGGGCGCAGGGAGGCCGTGGCCAGGCTGAAGCAGGCAGCTGGACCACAGAGCCATAGCAAGACGCAGACCCTGGCTCCAGGGGGTGACGCCAGGGCCATGCATCTTCAAACACAGGACCTCAGGGATTCAAGGGGGCTGGCTCAGAGTCCCGACTTCTCGGCTGGGAGACAGCCAGCCAGGAGTGGCTGCAAGGCCGGTTCAGATCCCAGCTTCACCAGCGAGCGGCCCGGCAGCCCCAGGCAAGTCACTGGGCTCCGTGCCCCACAATGTGTTCATCTGCAGGCCAGGGATGGGCCTGTCGCACACCCCGCATCAGCGGACTCCGGGGCCAGGCCCAGGGTCGCGCAGCACCCACCCCCCACCCCCAGCTCGCACAGCCCCGGGCCCATCTGCCCGCAGCAGCTGCCGCCGGCGCCACCCGCCCGCCCCTCCCGGGGAGCGCTCACCTCCGCTTGTACTCGTCGCGCTCCCGCTTCACCTTGGCCAGCACGTTGTAGAGCGCGCGGATCTCGGGCGTGATGGTGTCGATCTGCACGCCCACGCCGTCGGGGTGCACCCACGACACGCCGGGGCCCTGCACCGTCTCCACGCCGCCGCCGCCCGTGCGCCGCACCTGCGTGTAGCTCCAGATGGTCCCGGGCAGGCGGCCGTAGTGCTGCGGGTGCGAGCCGCCGCCGGGGGCCACCGGGGCCGCGGCGTTGGCGTTGGCGCCCGGCGCCGCGCAGCCGACCCCCGGCCCGCCGCCCGGCGCGGGAGGCCGCAGCAGCTCGGGCCCGGTCTGCACGGCCTGCTCGCGGGAGAAGGTCTTGTAGCGCAGCCGCCGCTCGCGCTCGCTCTGCTGCTGCTCCAGCTGCTTCTCCAGCAGCCGGTTGCGCCGCTCCAGCTCGTGCACTTTGGCCAGGAAGCAGCGGAAGCGCACGTTGAGTCCTTTCAGAAGGTGGATGTTGGAGCCCAAGTCGTCCCGCAGCGCCGCCGTTACGGGCGACGGCCCGGGCCCGGCTCCGCCGCCGCCGCCGCCGCCCCCGCCGGGGCAGCCGCCGCCGCCGCCGCCGCCCGGCGGGCAGCCGAAGGCCAAGGCCATCTCCCCGAACAGCAGCGAGTTGACCATGCGCCGGCTGCGCGGCTCAGGGCCCCGGGCCCGCGGCTCCAGGTGCGGCTCCAGCTCCGGGCAGGGATCCCGGCGCGGCCGGGCCAGGGCGGGCGCGGGCTCCAGCGCAGATTGCCCCACGGCTTTGCGAGCAGAGTCGCCAGTGCGCCAGCACCTTGTCCTCGGTGCAGGCCCTGCCTGCGGGCTCCAGGCCCTCTTGGGCCAGCCGGGGAAGGCGCTTCCGGAACTCTGCCAGCTCGGTCTCCAGCTGCCGAACCCGCAGATGGCAGGCCCCCTCGGCGTGGAGCAGGCCAGAAAGCCTCGCCTCCTCCTCCTCACAGAGCAGCCGGAGATTCTCCGCCGGCACTGCCCCTTCTGCGGTGGCCCCGCCCACTGCAGACACGCGCCCCGCCCCCTCCGGGCCCCGCCCCCTCCTCCTCCCTCTGCGGCGATCCCGGCGCCCGAGGCCCCGCCCCGAAGCCCGCAGCGCCGGGCCACGCCCACGGGCCCTTGGCTCCGCCCTCCCAGGGGGGGCCTCCGCTCTCTGCGCCGCGCTGACTGGCCGCGGCAGCTCTGACCCCGCCCAGATCCCCGGCGGGGCCACGCCCTCCCCTGCGCTGGGTCCCGCCGCTACGCGGGGCTCGGATTCTCTGCGTGGGGACGCGGACCGCAGAGCAGTACCAGGGTTCTGCGGGAACCGCCGCAGAGCCGGCCCGGCCTCTTAAAGGGACCGTCGGGCTCGGCAGCGGGGTCGCCCCCTCTCCCACGTGGTCTGCGGAGGAGGCTCGGCTGCTCTGTCCTCCCTCAACCCCGGACCCTTCCCCCTGCCCCAGATTCCGAGGGATGCGGCCGACAGCGTCCTGGAAGGGCTGGGGGACCACGGCGTCCGCAGGTGCAGCGGCACCCCACTCCCCACCCCCCAGAAGCGGCCTGGATCGACCTTCGCGGGCTAAGGCCGCGCTTCCGCCAGCACGTCCCCCACGCGGCCGAGCGGGCGCTGCTCGCGGTCCCCTCCACCGCCAGGCCGCGCGTCCCCGCCTCCAGCCGAGGGCTCGCTGCCCAGAGACCGGGCACTGCCCAGCCCGCTGGTCTACCGCGAGGGTGGGGCGTGACACCTGCGCGCTCTGCCCGGCCGCCTGCGTCCAGCGGCTGTAGGGGGCAGCATCGGGCGGACGGTCTGCAGGATGCTTGCGTGCTCTGCTTGGTTCTTTCAAACGCGTTTTCACAGCTGCCCCCCTAGAGGCCCAGCTGCGCCCCTCCTGGTGCAGACACTGGTGTATGCGCCGTGTCCTGCTCGCTTGTTACCCCCATTTCACAGAGCAAGTCCCCGAGACCTAGGTAGCCGCCAGGGTTCCAAAGCGCCTGCTCTAAGCGGCCTCTGACACTGCCCCTGCCCGTGAACCTGGGAGGGGAGGTGACCGCGACCTTTGAGCAACTGTGGCTTGTCCAGATATTGTGGCCTGGTGCAGGTTCTTCCAGCCACATTGTTTGAATTGCAGTTTAATTTCTGACTTGTTAGCAACGTTTGTGTTTGTTTTGTCTCTGTGCAGAAGCTTAAGGGCAGGTACCCTGTCTTCCAGGGACAATGCCCCGGTGCTCTGAGTGACAAAGGAAACCCGAGGAGATGGGCTTCCTGTGGGGTGACATGGCTGTGACGGTAGTCTGTGTGCTGTTGAGGCAGGGACAAGAACAAAGCCTCCCGGGAGTTCCTGACCTCAGCCCCAGCCCCTTGCTCCCTGGCGTGGGACAGCCAGCTCCGAAACTCACCTGCCCTGGATCCCTCCTCTGCCCCACGAGCCAATCTGGCCACCGGCTGGCTTCCCTAACCCACAGGATCAAATCCCCTTGAAGCAGGGATTGGCGGAGGATAGGACGCTGCCCGTGACATTGGAGTGGACAGAAGTTCAATCTTTATTTGCACTTTGTTCTAAAATGGTGTTTAGCCTCTCCTTTGAGGGTGAGCGTAGGCTGCGTGTGGAAGTCCTTGTGGTTTGTCCCTATTGGAATCTCGGGTGGGTGTTGTGGCGCGGCAGGTGAAGCCACCACTGGGGTCACAGTGCCTGGGGTCAAGTGCTGCTCCCCCTTACAGCTCCACTTCCTGCTAATGTGCACCCAGGGGGATCACAAGTACCTGGGTCCCTGCCACCCACAGAGACCCAGGCTCCTGGCTTCAGCCTGACCCAACCCAACTACTGCAGGCATTTGGGGAGTGAAACAATTAAAAATATCTCTCTCTACGTCTTTTGCCATCTGTCACCCTCTCTGTGTGTCACTCTGCCTTGCAAATAAATAAATGAAATGTATCTTTAAAAATAAATCAGATTTTTCATATCACACCACAATTATTAAAGATATCTCAGGATAACAAGTAAGCTGCCACAATTCTGAAATCAAAGTCATATTAGACCCACCAGTGAATATTATTTAATGTATTAAGAAAGGACATACATTACTACATCACAAATTTGTCCTTAATCCTTTGATATTTGTATTTTAGTAAAATTGTTGTCATTATAATCCTAAAGCATTTTTAAAAATTATTCTGAGATGAGGTCCACAGGCTTCCCCAGATTCCCAAGGGGCCTGTGGAACACAAAGGGTTGAGGATCCACACCTGGGGATTGGGCTCCCCACAACCTCTCCCAGGAAGGCTCTGTCCTGCCAGCACCAGTGCGGGGCCAGGGTGTGAAACCCTCCCGTGGTGGGATGGGGGCCAGGGCAGGCGGTCCTGTTCAAGCTTAGACACTACAGGCTGAGGGCGGTGCTTCCACAGCTGTGGCGACAGCCAGGAAAACCACCCAGAGGGTGCGCAGGAGACGGAGGAGCCCCGGGAACGGCTGGGAGTGGGCCTGGACTGCAGGGGTCTTCAGCTGAGCGTGATACGTGCCAAGGAGTTGGCGTACACGCTGCCCCATGGCCACAAAGGCCTGGCAGCGAGACGCTATGTGTCTCTGCTCTTTGCAGCTGTCCAGTCCGGTGGACCAACTGTTCCCATCTGCCAGGGACTGGGGCGGGGGGTCTCCCTTGATGCAGGACTTTGACTGCTAAAACCCAGAAAAATTCCAAGCAAGCCAGAACACCTTGTTCACCCTTGAGCCTGTCCATAAAGACATCCTGGCTGGCGGAGTCGGCCAGACAGGGCTGGGAATTTTAGGGGAGCAAGAACCGAGACCCAGAGACAGGGGGTCTCACCCCAGGTCACCTAGAGAAGGGGCAGCAAAACTCGGTCTGGAATTCTGCTCCCATGCCTGGGCTATGGCTCAGCCATACCCGAGCCCGAGAGTTCAGCGATCCATTTCCCTCGGCCCTGAACACCTGCAGGCTGCCTCCCCCAGGCGAGGTCCACAGGGAGCTAGAGGCGGGTCCTCACCAGATGGGCATGATCAAAATAAATAAACAACCCCAGGGGATGCCAGCTTCCACTTGCTGCCTAGAAAGATGGAGGTTCTGTTTGTTTGTTTAGTAGGGCACCTCTTAGGTCCTCAGTCACAGCCGTATGTCTAACCCAGAGGCAAGAGGGGAGAGTGGAAAGAGGCAGGCTGGCTTCCGAGACAGGAGACTGGCTAACGCTTGTGCATCTGTTCCAGCCATGCAACTTGGCAAGTCACTTCATCTTAAGAAAAAAAAAAAAGATTTTATTTATTTATCTGAGAGTAGAGTTACAGAGACAGAAAGGTCTTCCATCTGCTAGTTCACTCCCCACATGGGTGCAAAGGCTGGAGCTGAGCTGATCCAAAGCCAGGAGCCAGGAGCTTCTTCTGGGTCTGCCACGCAGGTGCCGGGGTCCAAGCATTGGGCCATCTTCCAATGCTTTCCCAGGCCATAGCAGAGAGCTGGATCAGAAGAGGAGCAGCTGGATGCGAACAGGTGCCCATATGGGATGCCCGCTTAGCCCACTACGCCACAGCACCCGCTCCAGCACTTTGTCTCCCTAAGGCTCCATTTGCTCATCAGGAAATGGGCATAGCTTTACCCACAAAGGCTCTTACGACACTCTTGCCTCACGTCTGCCCTGCCTGGACACTGAACAGCTGCTGAGTTGTTGAATAAATGGAGCAATGAATGAATGAACACATGGCCTTCGTCCTCTGCACTCCCCTGCCGTTTCGCCTGGTGGCTGACTACCCCTCATCCCTTGGGCCTCAGCCCCACGCACAAAGCCATGCTCTGCCAGCACCCTGCAGGCCTGGGCTGGAGGTCAGCACCATTCCACCTGGAGGCAGTCCCAGCCACCTGCAGCCACATCTCCACCCCTCCCACCTCTAACCTTCCAATCCTCGCTGGTCCAGGGTCTCCATTAGGACAGGAATCTCAGACCAGAAGCAGGTCTCACTCATCGCTGTAACCCAACCCTGACGTGGCGCCTGGCCCATAGTAGTTGCTCAACAAAGATGCGTTCAGAGGAAAAAAATGCATGAGCCATTGGTACTGGCAAAATTCCTACACAATGCATAATGAGTGCTTGATAAATGTCTTTGCAAATTCAGTTACATTTATTTGCTTTACAATGTCCTTGAGGAATAGCTGACCTATCGTGAAACTCACCCATTTTGTTGGTTTTTGGGAAGCTTAGCAACTTGTGCAACCACCCGTCTCAGTCATTGGTAGAACATTCTCCATCTCTCAGAATCACTGTGTCCACTTACAGCTGGTTCCCATCTCCACTCCCTGCCCCAGACAACCCCTGGTCCACTCGCATCAGATTTGCCCTTCCCAGAGCCGCTGTCTGAGCGGCATCCTATGGTGGACGGCTGTGTGCCTGGCCTCTTTGTTCATTCCTTTTGACAGAGGATCCCTTTTTAACTGTTAGCAGTGTGAATGCTCCACCGCCTTTCTTAGTTTCTTTCTCTGAACTTCAATTTCTTGTCCAGAAAGAGGACTCAGACGAATGCGTACTTCCTAGATGGTGGGCAGGATTCACGCGTCCATACCTGGGAAGTTAGCCTGTTCAAGACTTGCTCAAGGCATGTCAGTGGGTTTTGATTTTTTTAGTTTTGAGTGTTTTTTTGTTTTTGTTTTAGATTTATTTCATTTATTTGAGAGGTAGAGTGACAGACAGAGGGAGAGACAGAAAGAGCGAGAGATCTTCCATCTGCTGGTGCACTCCCCAAATGGCTGCTATGTCTGCAGCTGGGCCAGGCTGAAGCCAGGCGCCAGGAACTCCATCCGGGGCCCAGCACGTGGGCCATCATCCACTGCTTCCCCTGGTCCGTCAGCAGGAAGCTGGATCAGAAGCAGAGCAGCCAGGCCCAGAACTGGCTCATACCGGATGGCGGCGTGGCAAGTGGCAACCCGAGCTGCTGCACCACCACACCGGCCTCTCAGTAAGTGCTAACTGTCATCACCATAATTTTTAGTTTTTATTTTTTAATTTTTATTTACTGAATGCATTTTTATATAGACACAGCTTTAGGAATATAGTGGTTCTTTACCCCATACCCCTCACCCCACTCTCATCCCACCTCCCATTCCCTCTCCCATCTCCTTCATTATGGATCATTTTTAGTATGACTTTATATATAGAGGCCCAACTCTATGCTAATCATAGATTTCAACAATTGGCCCACACACAACATACAGAGTGCAGTTTGGGGAGAGAATTTGCAGTTGATTCTCATATTACAATTCAATAGGGACAGAGGTCCTACCTGGGAAGCAAGTGCACAGTGGCTACTGCTGTTCCTTTAACAATTAACACTCTTTTTTATGATGTCAGTGATCATCCGAGGCTCTTGTCGTGGGCTGCCAGGGCTGTGGAGGCCTTTTGTGACCGCAGATCCATCGGTATTTGGACCCGGCCACAAGCAGAGTGGATGTTCTCTCCTCCCTTCAGAGAAGAGTGTCTCCTTTTTTGACGACACTTTCTTTCCTCTGAGGTCTCGCAGAGATCCTCCGTGTAGCATGTTTTTTGTCATAGAGTCTTATCTTTCCATGTTTGAAAATCACCATAATTTTTCTCCTCGGTTTTTTTTTTTTTTGTATTTTTGCTTAAGCAAATGTAAACAGTCTATAAATGTAGAAAAAAAACAGGTTGGGTAAAAAAGCATCCCACACCCAGGACTCCTTTCCAGGAACCTTGAGTGTATCCCCCATCCTCAGCCTGGGGCTGGAGTTTCTAGAACATTCCATCAGGTTTCTGCATGGTGAACAGAATGAGATCAGTGAAACATGGTGGTACAGAGGAAGGGAGTGGCTGCAAGTCCACGGCTGCTGCGGCTGCAGATTAATCCCCTGCCTCCTCCCTACCAAAAAAAACAATGATGCCAGTACCAGCCAGAAAAGCCCTGGCAAAGGTGACGCGTGCACGTGGCAGGGCCTCATCCTCCACGGACACCTCTGGGCTTACGAGCCGCCTAAGCCGCCGGTTGGCACTGCAATTATCCTGGGTGGGTTCACCTTCCTTGAAAAGGGCGTGGATTCCAGCGAAGCCGAGGCGCCAGCCTGTCCCACTGGCTGCCCTGACGGCGCCGATCTCGGTCAGCAGCCCTGGAAGAGCCCCAATTGCTTCCAGCACCTTCTCTAGGTCTCCCAGTGGAGGAAGCTCCAGGAAGGCCAGCCTGGGCAGCACCGTGGACTCTGGCTGTAGGGCAGGTGCGGTTAGGAACAGGGAAGCCACAGCCAGGCTCCGTCAGTGATTGTGAACCACGTGACCTGCTCACTCAATCTCTGTGCCTCAGTCTCTCTCACTGTAAAATGGGAGGTAGTAGTTGGCAGGGTCACACGGGGGTGAGGGGTGAGCTTGGCATGGAGCAAGTGCTGAGCGCCACGAGCCAACATCCCTGGGACTCCAGGTATGTGCCAGGCACTGTGGGCGTGGTGGCTCGAACTCCACGTGGCAGGTGAGCAGACCCCCAGTGGGGCCCTGCTGGGTGGCTTTGAAGGGCCGCAGGTTCTGGGCGGCCCTGGCCTTCAGACCTTCACCCCAACTCTGAACTAAAACCCCATAGACGAGAGACCCCTCTGCCAGAAGAGGAAGCTGAGGGACAGGAGGGAGAAGGGGCTTAGCTAAGCACACGCGGGTGCTGGCGCAGCTGAGCTCTGAGTGCAGATTCCATCCCCCTCTGGGCCGTAGCTCCTCCAGCGACAGCTCACAGGCAGGGCGTTCAAACACAGGCTGACGACACAGCTGCTGAAACGACTCTAGCATCCTGTCCCAAGGCCTTCGTGGAAACCCACAAATGCATGGGAAGAGGCCAGGAGAATCCTGGTTTGGGGCACCATCAGAGGAGACCAGAGCCTAGAGGAGAGGCAGCACCCCCGCCTCAGGGCCTTTGCACCTGCCGGCTCCGCCTCCAGGCTGCCTTCCCCCTCCTCACAGGCCGGCTCTCGCTTATCCTGCAGATAGAGGCTTTGGCAGCACGTCTCCGTCTTGACCTTTGTCTGGGCTTTGCGTAGAGGTGTAACTTATGTTCGGTCACGTGCACGAATAGGAAGGGCTCAGTTCAGTGCATTTCTGCAGATGCGCACCAGGAGGTCACAGCAGGAGGCTCCCGCCTGCCCCCTCTCAGCCGAAAACTCCCGAAGGTGCTCGGGTGCTGACTTCTCCCGCCCTGGCTCCCGTCTCAGCTTCCAGGACTTCATGTCCAAAAAATCATGCAATACGAAGATGCCTCAAAAAATTCATGGGCAATGGAATTAAAATATAAGTTTATGTTAGTGCAAAAAATTTTGAAATCTATGCATAATTTTTTACATAACAAGCATTTTGATGAACTTTTTGAATTTTTGGAGACCCCTTGTGTGGATAGATTTCAAAAATCTTTCCACTAAAATAAACTTAACTTTTTTTAAAAAAAAAGATTTATTTATTTATTTGAAAGGCAGAGTTATAGAGAGAGGGAGAGACAGAGAGAGGGAGAGAGATTTTCCATCCACTGGTTCACTCCCTAAATGGCTATAATGGCCAGGACTGGGCGAGGCTGAAGCCAGGAGCCAGGAACTTCATACAGGTCTCCCATGTGGGTGCAGGGGACCAAGCACTTGGACCATCCTTTGCTGCTTTCCCAGCCAGATTAGCAGGGAGCTGGATCGGAAGTAGAGCAGCCAGGACTCAGACTGGCACCCATACAGGATGCCAGCATTGCAGGTATTGGCTTAACCTGCTGCACCACAATGCCAGCCCCTAAACTTAACTTTTAATTCCTTTTTTAACAAACTTAGAGCAGGCAGACAAAGAGAGCTTCCATCCACTGGTCCATTCCCCAAATGCCTGCAACAGTCGGAGCTAGGCCAGGTCAGAGTCGGGAGCGGAGAGCTCAGTGTGGGCCTTCTACACAATGCAAGGACCCAAGTACCAGGGTCCACCTACTGCCTGCAGGGTGGGCTTTGCCAGGAAGCTGCAATCAGACTCCACTTTCGGGGCTCCTTTTACTCAACCTTGTGTGTAAGAGGCTCCTCCCCACAGCTCTGTGTAGCAGTGTCTTGCTACATAGTATTCCAGGGGTTGATTTATCCCATTCTGCTGCAGGAGAGCATTTGGGGCTGTTAGGAGTGAAGCCTCCACGGAGCCCTGGGGGCAGGACTGCTGTGTGGCAGCACGTGTGGTACATGTGTGTGCAGTGTTGGCACACACTGCCGCAGCCCAGCCACCCAGGTTGTGCACAGTCGTACACCCCCTGAGCCGTCCTTGATGGCCTCACTTCCCGGCTGTGGCTTATTCTCATCCGCCCTCTCTGTTGCAGACTTTCTGGTGAGGGTGGAGACAGCAACTCCCCCTAGAAGCACAGGAGCCTCCCGTTCGTCCCCATCAGGGCACCGACTTCTCCCACACCTGTCCTCCTTGTGCTGTAAGGGGAGGGAGAGACCCCAGCTCTGACCCTGACCCAGAGCTCCCTCAGGAAGGAGAAGCCAGCCTGTCTCCCCAGCTCCAGGCAACCCCTCCCCTGCTAAGCTGTCATCTCGGCCTGAGGACCCAGGGCCCCTCTCTGTGCTGTGCCCAAGTCAGTTCAAAGCTGGTGCCTCTCTGAGCCGTGGTTGCACCATCTACAAAAGAACAAGGATGCTCTGGTCCCACGGGAGGGGTGGGAGCTGATGAAGTCCTGGCAGAGGGGACGCCGCGTGAGGGTGGCTCCATGAGCCCACCCGGAGCCCGCAGCCTCCCTGGGAGGAGATGGCCCCTTGCTGCCTCCTGGCTCTCAGCAGCAGCGGCATCACAGAGCGGCCAAGGGCCTGAAGCACCACGGGCGAGACGGATCCCTGCCCCAGGAGGCCCCATCTCGCTCACCCTCCCTTACCCCACTCATCCGTCCTCACAGCGATGGCTGACAGAGCACTGGGTGTGGCGGGCATCGCGCTGTTACAGGTGCATCGTCTCCGCAGCCTCAGCCATTTGAGGGAAGAGTCATCGTTCCCATGTCACCGATGGAGCGACTGAGGCTTGCAGAAGAGGAGGTAGGCAGAGAGAGAGCCTCTCCTCATTCCAGGGCCTGGAGATCACAGGGCCAAAACCTCGAGTCATTGGTCATTGTCTGGTGTCACCGTGAACATGGCCATGTGCCCAGGAACCTCAGGGATTGGGAGGGAGGACTGAGTGGCTATCCAGGTACCTTGGTGAGTGACCGGTCACCAGGGAGCCCCAGGGAGTTCCAGAAAGCACAGGAGGGGCCGGCAGGGCCTCCTTGCCATGTGGGGCTCCCCTGGTCTTCCCATCGGAGGGCGAGCTGGGGCCACGCCCCCGCCCTATCACCACGCCTTCTGATTGCTGCTGTGCAAATGGCTTTCTCATGTGTCAGCGAAAGCCCTCGGAACAGGGCAGGGCAGGTCCTCTGCGGCCTCATCGTCCCATTTCTGCTGAAACAGATGTCCCAGCAATGGGGACAGCTCCTAGGAGGGGCCTGCAAGAAAGGAGTGAGTCAAAAAGCCTCCTTCCGGGAGCACGCCCCATCCACCACCGCCTTGGACAGGAGCGAGGTGAGCTCACCCCAGCCTGCTGACTGAGAGGCTCCCTCGTTGTCCCTAAGCAACCTGGAAATTCCTCTCCATCCATGGTCGTGGCGTCCGCAGTCTACACCAGCCCCCTCACAACAGATCATGGGGGCCGGCCCTGTGGCGTTAGGGTCAAGCTGCCACGTGCAATGCCAGCATCCATATGAGCACAGGTTTGAGTCCTGGCTGCCCCACTTCTGATGCAGCTCCCTGCAGATGCACCTGGGAAAGCAGTGGAAGAGGCCAAGGGCTTGGGCCCCCGCACTCACGTGGATGCCACCCAGATGGGGTTCCAGGCTCCTGGCTTCGTTCAGCCTGGACCAGCCCCAGCCATGGTGGCTATTTGGGTAGTGAACCAGTGAATACAAGATCTCTGTTTCTCTCTCTCTCTGTCTTTCCCTCTTTCTCTGTAACTCTGACTTTCAAATATATATATATATATATATATACACACATATATATATTTGGGGTATATATATGGTAATATATATATGGTGATATATATATATGGTGATGGTGATATATATATATGGTGATGGTGATATATATGGTGATATATATCAAAGCAACAGATAGGATAGCTTGCTCCAGGATAGGCAAGCTTTTCTGCCTGTGGTTAAAGGTGACATCACAGGATAAAAGGCAGCCCCATTTTGAAAAGCGCACTTACGTGTCTGTGGGGTTGTCCGTGTGTCCACACACAGAATACAAGCCGGTACAGGTGTCCCGAAGGTCAGCAGATGACTTTCGCTGCTGGAAGCACCTGCATGTGAGGCTGTGGCCCAGCGGGTTGTGGCGCCGCTTGGGACAGCCGCATCCTGGATCAGAGTGCCTGCGGTTGAGTCTCGCTACCGCTTCCAAACCAGCTCCCTATTGCTGCACCTGGGACATAGCAGAAGGTGACGCAAGTGCTTGGGCCCCTGCCACCCACGTGGGAGACCTGGATGGAGTTTCTGGCACCTGGCTTAAGCCTGGCCCAGTCCTGGCCACTGTGGCTATTTGGGGAGTGAACCAGTGGATGGAAGATGTCTCTGTCTCCCTCTCTCTGTGTAACTTGGTCTTCCAAATAAATAAAATAAATCATTTTTTAAAAAGACATTAAATTAAACTACAGCTAATTTTTTAAAAGATTTATTTATTTGAAAGGCAGAGTTAGGGGCCAGCGCTGTGGCAAAGTGGGTAAAGTTGCCTGAAGTGCCGGCTTCCCATATGGGCGCCAGTTTGAGACCCAGCTGCTCCACTTCCAATCCAGCTCTCTGCTGTGACCTGGGAAAGCAGTAGAGGACGGCCCGGGTCCTTGGGCCCGTGCACCCACATGGGAAGACCCGGAGGAGGCTCCTGGCTCCTGGCTTCAGAATGGAGCAGCTCCAGCTGTTGCAGCCAATTGGGGAGTGAACCATCGGATGGAAGACCTCTCTCTCTCTCTCTCTCTCTCTCTCTCTCTCTGCCTCTCCCCTATCTGTGTAACTCTGACTTTCAGATAAATAAATAAATCTTTTAAAAAAAATGAAAGCAGAGTTACAAAGAAATAGAGGCAGGAAGAGAGAGGTCTTCCATCCGCTGGTTCACTCCCCAGATGGCTGCAATGGCTGGAGCTGTCCTGATCCGAAGCCAGGAGCCAGGAGCTTCCTCCGGGTCTCCCACACAGGTGCAGGGCCCAAGCACTTGGACCATCCTCTACTGCTTTCCCAGGTGCATCAGCAGGAAGATGGTTTGGGCCATCTCCTACTGTTTCCCCAGGCCATAGCAGAGAGCTGGATCGGAAGTGAAGCAGCTGGGATTCAGATCAGTGTCCATATTATGGGATGCCTGCATGTCAAGCAGCCAGTACAGGTTGGGTACTGTGCTTAGCACTATTTGCCTAAACAATCATGTCATCCTCTCAGCAGCACCACGAGGATGTGCTCACACACCCATTTTACAGAGGAGGAAACCGAGGCTAGTTGCAAATGCCACCCAGTCAGTTGGGTGATGCAACAGGGGCTGCACAAACAAAAAGCCCCGGTTCTCTCTCCGCCCCACACTGTGTCCCTCCACTCCACGCCCTCCTTGCTGAGACAGGAGGAACTGCACCTGCCTTCACCCAAAGCCCAGGTCAGGCAGCACCCCCTCCTGGGACAAAGCCCCCGCTTGTGTTGGGGAAGGAGCCGGTCTCTCTCTGCCCTCCTCTTCGGGGCCCCTCCGAGGCTGGCCCCATCCCCTTCTGTCAAGGAAGCCTCTATCCCCCCACCCCCTGGCCCTCAGGCAGGATGGAGCTGACCACTTGGGAGAGGAGGCCCTGGGGAGGGGTCGGCAGAGTCCACACGGGCGGCCCTGGGTCACAGGAGCAGGCAGCGCATAGCCGGAGCGGGGTGCTTCCGGGAGAGCCAGTGGACACAGGGACATTCGTCCTGAGGTTCACGTTACTCCCCCGGCCGCAGCCTCCCCAGCTGAGCCCAAAAGGTGGAGCCCAACAAGCTCCAGGGCCCCTCGGGCTCCCCCAGACCCAGTGGTTCTAGACAGAGCCCCCCTCCCTCTTGGTGTCCACGAAGGAGCAGAGTCCCTGCCGCCCAGGACTCGCAGTGGGGGAGGCTGGCAGCTTTGGGGCCACAGGGATCTGGGATCAAATCCCAGCTCTGAGCCTGTGACCGCCTCAAGTCTGTAAAATGAGCCGTCACACCTCTCCTGAAAACCAGGGGGCAGAGAACCCCACGAGACACCACTTCCCACCCACGGGGACAGCGCTCCCCAAAAAACGAAGAGCAGGCGTAGGCTGGGATGTGGAGACATCGCGGCCCTCGTGCCCTGCCAGCCGGGACAGACCCTGGAGCCCTGCGTGGAAACAGCTCTGTGGTGCCTTCAAGAGTCAGAATCGTCAGCTCTGCCACTCCTGGGGCAAACCCGGGACCCAGACAGGCGCTTGCACACTGACGTCTGCAGCGGCTGATTCCCCATGGCCCGAAGGAGGAAGCGCCGCAAAGCATCGGCATGCATGGAGAAACACGTGTCACTCCGCGCACAGTGGAGTATCTCTGCCGCACGGACGGGCCTGGAGGAGGACCTTGTGTGAAACACTGCAGCCAGCCGGGAACACCAGACGGTTCCACCTCTACGAGGAGCCTGGGGTGGGCGACGTCACAGGGACCGAATTGGAGGCCGCCGGGGCTGGGGCGGGCGGGGGGGACCGGCCCCTTGCTGCTTACAGGGCACAGAGTGCCAGCCTGGGGCACCGGAAGCTCTGCAAACCCATCGTGGTGAAGGTCGCGCCACTATAGTGTGAGTTTACCTTCTGCTGCTGGATTGTACACTTAAAAATGGGGGAAATGGCGGTAGGCGCTGTGGCGTAGTGGGTAAAACCTATGATGCCAACACCCCATATGGCACAGGTTCGAGTCCCATCTGCTCCATTTCCAACCCAGCTCTGTGCTAACGGCCTGGGAAAAGCGGCGGAAGATGGCCAAGTCCATGGGCCCCTGTGCCCAGATGGGAGACCCGGATGAAGCCCCTGGCTTCAGATTGGCCCAGCACTGGCCGTTGTGGCCATCTGGGGAGTGAATCAATGGATGGAAGACCTCTCAGAGCTCTCCCTCTCTGTTACTCTGATTTTCAAATAAATAGGTAAATCATTTTTTAAAAACCGGTGGAAATGGTTGATTTTACATTATGTACACTTGAACGCAATAACAAAAACATTTTATTTTTTTTTTTTAAGATTTGAAAGGCAGAGTTAGTGAGAGAGATGGAGAGACAGAGAGATTTTTTTTTTTTTTTTTTTTGACAGGCAGAGTGAACAGTGAGAGAGAGAGACAGAGAGAAAGGTCTTCCTTTGCCGTTGGTTCACCCTCCAATGGCCGCCACAGCCAGCGCGCTGTGGCCGGCGCATCGCACTGATCCGAAGCCAGGAGCCAGGTGCTTCTCCTGGTCTCCCATGGGGTGCAGGGCCCAAGCACTTGGGCCATCCTCCACTGCACTCCCGGGCCACAGCAGAGAGCTGGCCTGGAAGAGGGGCAACCGGGACAGAATCCGGCGCCCTGACCAGGACTAGAACCCGGTGTGCCGGCGCCGCAAGGCGGAGGATTAGCCTAGTGAGCCGCAGCGCCGGCCAAAACATTTTATTTTTTAAATTACTTTATAGATGTATGAATTTATTTGAAAGGCAGAGTTACAGAGAGGGGAGAGAGACAGAGACAGAGAGAGAGAGGCAGAGAGAGAGGTCTTCCATCCACTGGTTCACTCCCCAAATGGCCACAATCGCCAGAGCTGGGCTGATCTGAAGCCAGGAGCCAGGAGCTTCTTCTGGGTCTCCCACGTGGTCCCAGGGGCCCACGGACTTGGGCCATCTGCTGGATTGGAAGTGGAGCAGCAGATACTCAAACCAGGGCCCGTGTGGGATGCCGGCACCGCAGGTGGTGGCTTTTCCTGCTACACCACAGCGCTGGCCCCGTAAAAACATTTTAGTTCACGAGGGGTCAAGAACTTCATAGAAATGTGCATCACGAAGGAACTGTGCGTAGAGCTCAGTTTTTTGTGCCAAAAACACATTAGACTTTTGCTATCACAAACTCTTGGAAGTCCTTCCTGTCATTTGGAAAAGTCCCAGAAGCATGCAGCGACAGCAGGCGGGTCCCCCCCTCCCCCGCAGGAGGAGCGGCCCCACCCTGTCACTCTGTGGTCCCACGCTGACTGCCCCTCCCCCGCGGGACTTCCTGCCCACCTCTGCCCGGGGCCGTGACATCAGAGCCTCGCCCACAGGAGACACCTGCCCACTGTTCTACACAGAGAGCCCATTCCTGTTCTCAGAGACCTCCCAGATGGAGGCCCCCCTGCCCCTGCCGCCCCCATCCCGGCCTCCGGGGCAGTTCTGCCCACACCCCTCCCGCTGTCTCAGACCTCTGTCCCCTGGGGCTGGCACCTGA